AAATACAGTATTTGTTTGGTGTTGTGGAGGCTCAAGGAAGGGTTTATATATGGAGGGAAACTTTATTTGTTGGTTGCCAGGGATGGGAGGGGAGGGGACGGGAGGGGAGGGAGCACTACAAAAAAAAAAAATCATTGACTCATGTCACTTTAGTTTTGTGTATTTCACTGTACATAAATTATATTTCAATAAAATGCATTAAAAAAATAGAAATCAGATGTTGTTGCATTGGGCAAATTCGGAAAAGACTTCTTTAAAATATTAAAGAACAAAGATGTCACTTTGAAGACTTAAGTGTACCTGACCCAAGCCATGATATTTTTAATCATCTCAGATGCATGCAAATGCTGGACAAGGAATCAGGAAAACTGAAGAAGTGATGGATTTGAAGTATGGTGTTGATGAAAAATATTAAATATACCATGGAATGCCGGAATAAAGAACAAATCTGCCTTGGAAGGGAGTACAGAAGAATGCTCATTAGAAGCAAGGATGATGAGACATCATCTTGTATACTTTTTACATGTTATCAAGAGCGACCAGTCCGTGGAGAAGGACATCATGCTTGGTAAAGTAGAAGCTCAGTGAAAAAGAGGAAGACCCTCAATGAGATGGACTGACACAGTGGCTTCAATGATGGGGCTGAAACATAGGAACAATTGTGAGGATGGTGCAGAACCATGCACTGTTTTGTGCTATTGTACATAGTGTCAGTATGAGTCAGAACTAACTCTACAGCACCTATCAACAACAACAACAGAGAGAAGAGTGGAGGCTAAAACAACTAATACACTAATTTGGGAATGACGTTCATTGAATTTCTGAATACAAGCCAATGCCAGACATAGCTTTGCTCAAAAACGTTCAGACTCCTTATTTCCTGTACAAACTAAACCGACCCAACTAGCATCAAGTCATACAACTCACAGCCACCCTAAAAAACATAGTAGGGTTTCCAAAGTTGTAAATCTTTCAAAAGCAGACTGCCTCATCTTTCTCCCACAGAATAGCTGGTGGGTGCAAACCACCAACCTTTTGGTTAGCAGCCAAATACCACTAACAGCACCAGAGCTCCTAATTGCCTATAATAAAACCAAAAACCAAACAGTCATCAAGTTGATTCCAACTCAGCGACCCTGTAAAACAGAGCAGAACTGCCCCCTAGGGTTTCTAAATCTGTAAATATTTATGGAAGCAGACTGCCTCATCTTTTCTCCTGAGGAGCAGCTGGTGAGTTTGAACTGCTGACCTTTTGGTTAGACCTTTCACCACTGTACCACCAGAGCTCTCATTACCTACAGTAGGAGAGAACATTTGGCCCACAGTTTGTATATTGTGTGGTCAAGAAGCTAGGAATGGTCTCTACATTTCTAAAGGATTATGAAGGAAAAAATATATATGCAATAGAAGTTTGGAAAGCCTAAAATATTTACTATCTGGCCATTTAGTTTCCCGACCCCTGGCCTGTAGCAGTGGTTCTCAAACTTGAATATATATCAGGGAGACTTGGGGGCTTGCTTTAAAATGAAGATTCCTGGGCCATGCCCACCAGATGATTATTAGTTGTTACCAGGTGTAGGAGGGAGGGGCAAAGTGGAAGCTTTCATTTGCAGGCATTGAGTTTATGCTAATGGTGTTCGAATATTTAGGAAAAGGATAGCAATAATGGTGGTACAGCATGAAAGTGTCATCAATGTCCCTGAGCTGTAAGTGTGGAAGTTGTTGTGTTGGCAAATGTCTTATTGTGTATATATTCACGAAAAGTTAAAAAAGAAATTCAAGTGTAAAAGTAATAAAAATTAAACAGAAACTACAACAAAGAAACCTTAAAAAAAAAAAAAAAACCTATGGGGCAGTTCTACTCTGTCACATGGGATCTTTGTGAGTCGAAAATCAACTTGATGGCACCTAATAACAACATTGCACCCTGTAAGAATGAAATAAGGATGTCACCTGAAACCATTCTTTTCATTTGCAATGTTATTTCTGCACCATTTAGAGTTTCCTGTTTTAGCCAGCTTTTATGGTGTGTTTCATTTCAGTTTATTTCCCCTCTTCAGCACCTCCCTTCCACTGACCCCTACCCCACCCACAAACTCTCACACATTTGGTTTATTTTAAATCTCTCATGAATCTATAACCACCATCCTGTGGTGGTTTCACTGACCACTCCTACCCTGTCCTCACCATCTTTCATTTTCCTAACCACTCTTCTCTTTCCCACCAAGACTCATGCTCTCAATCTATCTGTGTCCTCTTTTATGTACAATTTTATAATAATACCTAATAATATTTCCCATGAAAAGAGACACTGAATATGCAAAGGTACTCAACCCACTATACTCTGAGAAATGCAAATTAAAACAAGACCATTCTCTTCACCTTTGATATTGACTAAGTTTAAAATGAATAAGAATGTCTAGCAATAATCACAGTGTAGGAAAATGGGAACTCTCATACGCAATTGGTCACGGTGTAAATTTGTACCTTTCTAGATGGATGAATAATTGGGATTTTCAAGAATTTTCCTTGTTTCTTTAACAATTTTTTATTTTTTCTTTGTGCATTGTGCCTAGAGCCTTTAACTGGTTTTAATTACCTCCCTAGGGCAAAAAAAAGGTATGGGAAATTCAAACATACCCATAATATACAGATACAATTAATATTTTTTAAAGTCTCTGTTGACTTCTAATGAAGACTGAAAATATTAAGTAAACACAGAGACAATTTCTTTGTTTGAACTTGCTGATAGTGCTTCCATTTTACAGATTGATTATCTGAGTATAGTATATCTATATGTGATTCTGAGAAAAAAGGCATGGAGGTGGGCAATGTGTATCAGAAGTGGCTTGTGAGGGTTACTTTAAATCCCATCTTTTATCTCCTGGGCCTCTATTAATTTTCTGACTCTGTTTAAATGGAAAAATATTTTTGCCTCTTTCTCCAGGCTTTATAACTCTGTTACTAAGCTGCTAATAAGGGACAATACAAGGGCTATTTTCAGCCTTCCATGTTTCAGAGCCAGAAAAATGTATCCTAAGTTACACAAGGGATGTTCCTTGACTTGCTTTTGTTGTTGTTGTTGTCATGTGCCGTCGAGTCAGTCCTGACTCATAGCGACCCTCCTTGGGTTTCCGAGGCAGTATCACTATGGAAGTAGATTGCCCAACCTTCCTTCCAAGGAGTGGCTGGTGGGTTTGAACCGCCAGCCTTCTGGTTAGCAGTCAAGTAAGTGCCTTAGGCACTATGCTACCAGAGCTCCCTCCTTGACTTGCATTTATATCCAAATCTGTATCATAGATAGGCACTTTATAATTAGATTTTTACTATGTAATACCTAATGTTTGTATTGGTCATATTTTTTAAGGATTATCATATTGTACTTCTCTGAAATAAAATCCCAAGAGTTTAACTAGATCCACTAAAACAAAACAAAACGTAAAACTTCCAAGGTGGTACCAATTTCCCCTATGCTGTTCGGGTTGATATGCCTCAATTCTGAGCTCTAGCACTTCCCCACCTTTTAGAACAGATTGTCCAAGAGAGCAAAGACATTCCATTGCTTGGAAAGGAAAAGTCTAGTTATACTTTGCTATAAATTTGAACACCTCAAAACGTCATTTAGGGCCAGAGGTCCACCTCATCCTATAGTTACAGAGGCTTTTGTCACTTTTATTCTGTAGTTATGTTAGCTTTATTATTACTGACTTTTTATATCCTCTTCCTCCTACTGTTTCTTTCTGTAATTTTAATTGTTGAAAACAGGTGTTCTATATATGAAGTGATTCTTCTGATGTTTCTTTCTCTGGTAGGTGTAGAAGATGCCTTCAGTTTTACCTCCAAAGTCATGACTGTATCTTTGCACAAATTCTCCCCAGGATTTTTCCCAGGTAAGTGATCTATGTGTACAGTATTATGTTTAAAGGAATAAATTCAGTAATTCTCCATGTATTTCTTTTATCTTATGTTCGGGTACCTCCATACTGTTAATACCTTATTGGTGCTTTTCTATGCAAAATTTTAACACAAGTTATTTGAGATGACAGTAACAATAGGAACGCAAAATTATTTTTTTCCAGATAATTTTTATAGACTATCATCAGTTACTCATACTATACTATCTGATGCTCCATTTGACTCCTAACATCCTGATAGGTGCAATGATAATGTTATGTCAACCTAAGTAGCATGAAAGGAGCCCTGGTGACACAGTGGTTAAGCATTTGTCTGCTAACCAAAGGTCAGCAGTTCAAACCGTGGGAGAAAGATGTGGCAGTATGCTTCCATAAAGATCACAGCTTTGGAAACTCTGTGGTCACTTCTACTCTATCCTGTAGGGACACTGTGAGTCCAAATCAACTTGATGGCAATAAGTTTAAGTAGCATGAGAAATCAATTTGATCCAGCAGGATGGAAACCAAGGTTTTCCAGTTTCTCTATGGTTTTCCTGCTTTCCCAACATTTTTTATAACAGTTACTTCTCCATATTATTTGTCTTAATTTCAGTTCCTTAGAACCATCAGTAACTCAGGATTGTTCTCCTAATTCACCTCTTAGGTCTCCTGAATTTCTTTAAGTTTTCTAGTTTTCACATTCTTAATAACGGACCATGGTACTCCTCTTCACTCTCTTTTGCAGGAACAGGTGATGTGTCTGATGTTGGCCTAGGGAAAGGAAGGTATTATAGTGTAAATGTGCCCATTCAGGATGGCATACAGGATGAGAAGTATTACCACATCTGTGAAAGGTATGGAAGTAATGCTGAGCTGGGTACAAGTTGATTATTTTTGTATAAGAGACTGCTTTTGTCCTCTACTGCTGCTCTAACATAAAATACCACAAGTAGAGATGGCTTGGACAGATGGGTTTATTCTCTTATGGTTTAGGAGGCTAGAAGTCCAAGTTCAAAGTGCCAGCTCTAGGGGCTGGGTGAAAGCCCCTTGACCTTGGGCTTCAGCTCTGCCTCTTACTCCTGGCCTGCTGAGGCTGGAGGCTTCTCTTAACTCATATAGGTACTTGCTGCTGAGGCTGACAAACCCAAGGTTGACAAGTAAAATGCCACAGTCCCCAAATTATCAAGCAACATGGCAGGCCACTAATTCAAGTCCATTAACGGTCCCAAGATCAGCAGACAGCATGGCAGGCCATTGAGATGAAGACTTAGCCAAATGCAGGATCCACATGTGCCAAAAGCTCAAGACCTACCTCAAAGCTGCTGCTGCTGCTGCTGCTTTTTTTTTTGTTGTTGTTGTTGTGATTTAGGTGAAATTTACAGAGCAAATTCACTTTCCATACAGCAGTTCACATACACTTTGTCTCATGACATTAACCACAATTCACCACAATGAAACAGCCCCCTCCCATTTCCTCCCAACCATCACCTTTCCCTGTGTCTATCCCTCCATGCACCCCTGCACCCTGAGCTGTTTCCCTGTGCCTAAATAGCTATTCTTTCTCCCATGATTGTTCTCTCCAAGGAGTGTATCTACCTGAGTAGTTCAACTCCTATGCCTGTCTTTTGTTTGGCTGGAAACCACGGGTGTGGGTTCAATTCCAGACCTGAAGGGCAGCTAGGGATCATAGTCTCAGTGGTTTCACCAGGCTCTATTAGACCAGCAAACCTGCTCCCCCTTTTTTTTTCGCAAATGATTTTGAGTTTTGTTCCACATTGTTCTCCCTCTCTATCCAGGATCTCCTGCATA